CCATGCACCACCATCCCCTGCGCAATCACGCACCACAATCTCTCCGCGCTCAAGTCGCTCCTCGAGACTCATCCCATCAATGACCCTAGCATACCACTCCTACACCTCGTGATAATATCCGGCGACGAAGTAATGCTTCTACACCTACTATCAGTCGGCGCCAACGTCGCCACCGTCTCCGCCGGACAAACACCACTCCTTCTCGCCGCCGAGGAGGGAAAGCCGCGCATGGTCGAACTGCTACTCGCCAGCGGCGCAAGCCTCAAAGCGCGCTGTGCAAAAACTGGATACACGGCGCTACACCTCGCAGCCTTCTACGGGCACCGTGATGTCGTGCAGCTGTTGATTGAGCGCGGGGCCGACATCGAGGAAACGGTGGGGCGCGGACACACTGCGCTCGTGATGGCCGCGCAGGAGGGACATGTGGATGTTGTGGCCTGGCTGATCGAGAAGGGTGCGCAGGTCACGCAGCGGTGTGGCGATGGGTTCACGGCGCTACATTACGCAGCGGCGAACGGGAAGGTGGATGTTGTGAAGCTCCTGCTGGAGAAGGAGGCGGAGGTAAATGCGGCGACAGCGAGGGGATATACACCGTTACATAAGCCGGCGTTCTTTGGGCACCTGGAGACCGTGAAAGTGTTGCTGGATCACAACATTGATGCGGCCGCGAGGATCGAGGGTGGGCATACAGCGCTGCACCTGGCGGCTCAGGAGGGCTGGGAGAAGGTAGTCGACTTTCTGCTAGAGCGTAAACTGGAGCTCGCAGAGCTCAAGAGCGAGGCCGGATCCACGGCGCTACACATGGCTTCTCGCGAGGGCCACTCGGAGGTCGTGAGGGTCCTCCTGAAACGAGGAGTTGACCAAAACGCGGTCGACAAAAGCGGATACACCGCGCTCCACCTCGCAACCTTCTACGGCAAGACACAGACCGCGGCAGTATTTTTCGAGTCCGGCCCCAACGAACTGGTAAACCGTCGCGTCAACAGCGGCCACACACCACTGCACATTGCCGCACAGGAGGACCACGTCGCAGCCATGAAGCTGCTCCTCGAACACGGCGCCGACATCACCGCACGCCTCGACAACGGCTACACCGCGCTGCACAAAGCCGTCGAGCGCGGACACGAAGCAGCCGTTATATTCCTCTTGGATAACGGCGTAGAGGTCGCAGCAAGGCTCAACGACGGCCGTACTGCGCTGCACCTCGCGGCCATTGGTGGCCACGAGGCGATCGTAAGGGTGCTCATTGAGAACGGCGCAGACGTCAAGGCGAAAGCCAAAGACTCCCCTACGAAGTCGCTCCCGCCATCGCGCGATGGTACACAGCTCCCCCTATCGCCCCCAAAGACACCAGACAACGACACGACCCCGGCGCCGGCGCCGGCAGGCAGACACCCGTCGATCAAGAAGGGGGTGAAACAGTTCCTGGAGAAGAGCCGCCTCATCCACGTTGACGAATCTGGCGACACAGCGTTGCACCTCGCGGTTATCCAGAAACACCGGCACATTGTCGCACTGCTACTCGACAGCGGGGCGGAAGTAAACGGCCGCGGAAAGACGGGCATGACGCCTCTGCAGCTGGCGGCGTCCGCGAAGGGGGGTGAGGGGATCTTGAAGCTGCTGTTGGAGAAGGGCGCAGATAAGGGTGCGCGGACGGCGGAGGGGAATACGGCGCTGCATTTGGCGGCGGGCGCGGGGAATGAAAGTGTTGTGAGGGTGCTAGTGGAGGAGGGGGCGGAGGTGGCGGTGAGGAATAAGGCTGGGGAGACGCCGGGAGCGTTGGCGGTGGGGGATGGGGTGGCGGGGGTGTTGAGTGAAGGGAGGAGGGGTAGGGGACGGTCGTTTTTGGCGAGGTTTAGGAAGGAGTAGAGGGGGCTGTTGGGGGTGTATATAGAGCTTTTTCTTTATTTTTTTGGCTTTTTTATTTAGGGGTTTAGTTTTTTATTTTCTTTCTTTTTATTTCCTTTTCTCTTGGTCTGGTTTTTGGCCGTTTGGTTGTTTGGTTGCTCGGTCTTTTTGGTTTCTTGGGAAAATGGGGGTTTTATGTCTTATGTCTCTCTCTTCTCTTCCTCTATCTTTGATTTTTTTTATTTTCGTTTACTTCACGTGCCCGCGGGCACGGGACAAATCCATAGGGAACCCTTCACTCTAGTTATTGAGGCCAGGGAAAAATATATCCGTGTTGTAGGTAGAGGCTCGTGGGAGCGGGGGCTGGTGCCACGGGGAGGCACCGGGGGTATAGAAATCTATACATCTAGTTTTTATTATATTGGGGATATATACTAGTTTTCTCTCTTTCTATCTGTGCGTGTGGGGTTGTTCTAGTGATGATGTGTGAATTTATGGGGTTATGGAGACTTGAGTTCTGTTTCTCAGGCCGAAAATCCACCCCCCCCCCCCCCCCCCCCCACGCGATACAAAGACCGCTATAGTTCCATAGATACTAGTACGGTGGTTAAACGACTTCAGATACGTAGGTGCACGTATTTCTATTCTGTGCAGGCCCGATCCATGATCTCGCTGATGGTCATATAATGCTACTAGGCAAACGTATGCCCGGTGAGCTCTGTACGTGATATTGAATTTAATAATGAGCGGGAGCTCACTGACAAACTTGGCGGCGTATTCTACATACCTCTTCAAATTCCAAATCCACCAAAATAAACAAAAGATTTCCCCACATCCATCGGTGCCAGAAAATTAAGATGGTGCCGCCAGATGCAAAAAAGTAAAAGAAAAAAAAGAATGATGACAGAAGTGGGACTTGAACCCACGCTCGTTTCCGAACCAGGAATTGATGTTAAGAGTTAAGACCTTAACCTGGCGCCATAACCAACTCGGCCATCCTGCCATGGTTGTTGGCTGTAACGCAAAAACATAAAAGCCGCGCCCTAACTTGAAACGGATTTTTGTTTGGCAAGCGAGCGGGGGTTGGTTAGTCAGCGGCGGTAATGATATCTGGGCGGGTTTGGGGGATGGGCTGCTGCGACTGGAGGGTTGACACACACCAACCGAGATCGGTAAATCACAACATCATTCTCCTCAGCTATTTGATTTACAGCGTCGTATCTCTAAGATTTGGTAGGTTAACGACACTCCACTCGAAGCAAGTATGTAGGTAGTCTGTCGAGCGCGGCGGCTGCAATACCAGCACGGACGGCAATCCCGGTTTCAGAGGAGAGTGATATGGAAGTGATAGGTGAAATTTTTATGGCAGGGGAGACGGAGGGAGTTTGTTAATTTAAATTATTTTCAGAAGACCCTTGATCTCTAGTAACGACATGTGAATTAACGAGGATCGAAGCGTTATTAATTGTGTTGCAGCCGGGTTATATGCCACGGGCAGTGACTGCAGTGGCACCAAAGCCCCAAGGCATTGCGGTATCTCTTTAGTATTTAAATTCACGTATCAGCTTCAAACTAACACAAGTAACTACTACTATGCCCACAGTTAGTTTCCTATAGCCTCCGCTGCTTCATCGTCTTAGACGTGGAAGTCTGAGTGGTAGCAGATTGAGTGACCTTACCTCACCAGCTTCCTAAAGGAGGGAATCTAGGGCTTACCCAGCGTCTTCAATACCCCGGGAATTAACTAAGTTCACGTCCAGTGATACTACGTACAGACCTAGATCCTGCTAGCACCAACGAGACCACGAATAGTAGTACCCAACACAAGAAGAAGATCTAGACTAGTGGATTTAACCATAGGGTCTTGTCACTATGCTCCGCAGCATAGGTCAAGCATAGCGGCGAAGGATTCGTTGCGCTCCGGAGGTACATATTGACTTAATGTCTGTATGTAAATGTTGCAAGGGTATTTGGAATATGTGGCCCAAGACCCCAGTTTAAACCCGATTGAGCTGATATTCCTGTCTTCAAATGTGGGGGAAATTAAACCCGGTGCCGGCCTCCGCTACGTTAGCAAAAGTATTTTGTTGCCGTGAGTCTGCCGGGTGCACGGTTAGTATAAGGACGATTGTACATGATTCCTATAGCCTAGGTCCCCTTTAGATACATACCGTGAATCGGTACCACCCAGAGGTCCGCATCCAAGACAGTAACCATAGCAGAACTTCAGAGCACTTTCGTGCGTAATGTTGGTATTTATACTGCTGTGAGAAGTGGCTGAAGTGCATGTACACACTGGTCAGTGACGAAAGGAAGAGTAGAAACATTAGTATAGGATATAAGCGGACGGGCAACAGTCCCTTAACCTCCTTGTGGTAGCCCCACTACAGATCCAGAAGGACACATGGCTAAAAACAAGATTAAGCCATTAACAAACACTCTCACCGTTCTTCCAAACAACCTCAAGCCTCAAAATTCCACCTTAATCCACACGGTCTCAAACGAATGAACGGGACAAATCTAGACACGGTCTACACTCTCCAGGAGGGCACCATTGATACCACGATTACCAAAGATTCTTATTATGAATGTGATCAATAGTAGTCGAAGAAAAGCTTCTATGATTCGATTGAGCCCAACCACCGGCCTTAAGCTGCCTAGGTGCGTATTAGCTTCTTCAAAGCCTACCTGGAACTCATGGTGATGATTTTTGGAAGTAGTTGTCGATTATGGCTTGATATAGCTGGAGACGGCTCGGACTGAGAGCTTTTTAGCTCGACATGCTCACTCCTGCCCATCAAAGGGCATGAATACCGGCATACAGGGAGAAAAATCAAACCCGGCAATATGGCACGAAATCACTATCATCCACTTCGACTATTAAAGCGGGAATCTATGTATTTCAAAGCCCCATCTAACGAAAAGCTTCGTCTCCCGTTTCGCAGCAAATGCAACCTACCCCGGATGTGCATGCCGGCCTGCTAAGATCAATGATACTAAAGAAAAGAAGCTCCCATTTCGCCGCTGATGAAAAAATCCAGAAAGGAAAAAAAAAAAGAATATCCACAAAAGAAGCCAAACAGCAAAGAGAAAAAAAAGAACCACAGCTAACTAAAACTAAAACCACAGCTAAAAAGAAACCACAGCTACAGCTACCTCCCGCCAATGATACCCCCCACATCAAACACCCACACGCTCTCATCCCACCCCGTACTCGCCGCCCACCCCTCTCCACCAAACAGGCACCAATCCACACCCGCACAAAACTCCGTATGCCGGTCCATCACACCCATCATGCGCCCAACACCCGTGCCCCCCATGGCACCCCCGACGCCCCCCAGACCACCGTCATTCCACACCCGCACCGTCATATCATAACTAGCGCTCACCAGCACCTCCGCCCAATGCGGGCTCCACGCGATCCTGCGCACCGCATACTCGTGTCCTGCAAGCTCACTCACCGGCCGCGCCGGCTGCCGCACGTCCCACACCCGCACGATCTTGTCCACGCCCGCTGTCGCTACAACATCAGGCCGATACTTGTTCCAGTCGTGTGTCAGAACCTCCCCTGGCGCCATGGGACTCACAGCGATCACCGTCTGTGGCGCCGGTGGTGCCCGCGTGTCGAACAGTCGCAGCGTGCTATCGGAGGACACGCACGAGAGGAGGTTCGCAGTATGCGGGCTGAACACAGCGCTATACGTGCAGCTCCCCACCGGCAGCGTGAGCAGCGAGCGCGGCGACGTCGGCGACCACTACCACCCCCACACAATCAGCATCTACCCACCCCACCCGGCACAGCAGTCAGACAGATGAACCTACCAGCTTCACAGTCCCGTCCCAGCTCGAGCTGCAAAAGACACTCTTGTCCACGCCGCCCCACTTGACCGAAAACACCTCCCGGGCATGCTCCTGCCAGCTCGCGATCGGGAACTGGTCGAGCGTCGTGTCAAACAGCTTTATGCTGCCGTCGCCCGAGGCGACCGCCAGCTGGTTCTCGTGCAGCTCGCTGAACGCGACGTCGAACAGCGAGTCCTGCGTGTCAAAGTGCTTCTCGGAGACGATGCCCGTGGGCGTGAGACTGAGGATGTAGAGGCGGCCGTTGCCCACGAGGCCGAAGTTGGCGGAGGCGGCGCAGGCGAGGCGCGAGTCGTAGAAGGGCGAGTACTGGACGGCGTAGCCGTTGAAGCCCGTGGTGCGGTAGTGGAACATGTTGTCGAGAGGGGGGCGGAGGAGGAGGAGAGGAGGGGGGGGAGTGAGGGCGAGGGTGAGGGCGAGGGGGGAAGAGACAGGTTGCGCGGGTTGCGCGGGGCGGACAGTCGATCTGGACTTATCTGCTGTACTTATCGCCCGTGTGTGCCTCGGCTGTTGAATGCCCAGCTGGCATGGTGACCACAAGACAGTTAAAAGGCAATATCGGACTGAAAATAAAATATCTATATTACCACTGCACAAGCTCTTCTGCGACTTCTCTTAGAACTAACTAAGGCACAGTAGTACAGAAATAAACCCTTACGCCGATACGGAAGCTATGTAGACAAGAGAACCAACATGGTCCAAGACTGACGCTCTATTAGTATCGATACCAAAGCAGTCATATACGTCTTATACTAAACCGTTTAGTGAGTATACAACAAAGAGAGGAGGAGGAGGATGGAAAAGATTTCCAGCGATACGGACTTGTATCTTGTAATACCTGTACACATTACATAGTACTCAGCAGTATTAATCGGTGCTAGCCTTACTACTAGAGTACTGCTTAGTGGTAATGATTAAATACACCTTTTCAGTCCTGCACGTACATGTAGTCTTACACGGTAATGATTTATCAACACCTTTCCCAGCGCCCACCACAACGCTCCCCCCCCCCCCCCCCCCAAAAAAAAAACCCCCCAATATCCTAATCCCAATCCCAATCCCAATCCCAATCCCAATCCCAATCCCAATCCCAATCCCAATCCCAATCCCAATCCCAATCCCAATCCCAATCCCAATCCCAATCCCAATCCCAATCCCAATCCCAATCCCAATCCCAATCCCAATCCCAATCCCAATCCCAATCCCAATCCCAATGAAACCCCGATCTCAACCCTCTCTCCTCATCTTGGCCACTCCCATATCTCACACCCAACTATCGCCCAGTTAGTACTGCAGTGGGTGACCATGTGGGAATCCTGGGTACTGAACTCTATCCAATCTTTTGTTTTTTGTTATGGGTGTGCGCGGTTTTAGGCGGGGTTTAGAGGTGGGCTTGTGGGGTTGCTGGGTGTGAGAGATGGGCTTGAGAGGGGTTGCGAGTGGGATGTGACTTTGTTGGGGTTGCCGAATATCAAAAAATGGTTCCTCGACAACTCATCATGATTAAGTTGAAGTTTAAGATCGCCCAGCACTGATCTAAACACTGCTCTAAAATTAAAAGCCTGTGTGATATATACGAAGCAAAATAAACCTCTCTGCCACTTGATCATTGACCCAACAAAAAAAGTAAAAGCAAACCACCATTGTATCTGTACATGCAGATATGAATATGGTTTCGTGTATAAATGCTCCAGTAGAGATTTGAACTCCAGATCTTCGCATTACAAGTGCGACGCCTTACCCCTTGGCCACAAGAGCTGAATGCCGGGGTGTAAGGACTTGGCACTTATGGGTGTTGCTAGGGTGGCGGTGTGAGGAGAGGGGCACGGCGGAGGAGGGGGAGTTGATGGGATTTGATATGGCGGAGTATGGAGGTGAAGTATAGGTGTAGGTAGGGTGTGAGTGATATTAGTGCGAGTATCGTAGATTAGAATGGCTGAGTGTTGTGGTTGGAGTTACTTAGTTGGTGTGGGTGTACTGGCTGGGGCGGAGGGTTTGAATAATAGTCTTGATAGAATAGACAGAGTGCGGATAACGTATGGGTTAGGATGCAAAGTTAAGATCAAAACCTCGAACTTGTTCAACCCGCTTTGGTTTACTCCCGGAGAGGGAAAATTAGTGAAAGTAGTACTAAACCCCAAAAATTAACTCACATTAGCCTAATATCTGCCAAGGTGATCTTTTAACTCCAGTTTTCAAGGCGATCAAAGGTTCCTAAGCGCGCAGATGAGATACTACTAGTAGGCTTTTTGCTACATAACCTCTGGGTACGCACTTATATACCGGTTGAGGCTTTATAGAAGGTTCTTTTGGAACGTACTGTCATATGGCTAGACGTTGAAGCCATTGCATGTAGTTGTAGTTTTGCGCTCTGTGCTACCTGTTCTCACTGCCGGTATCGGACAACGTCTATTTTCACAATACTCGTATGACGCGTGTCTCCTTATATTCACCTCTTAGTACTTTATGGGGGAGGACAGACAGTCGGCATTCCTTCCTTCTCTTCTCGGCCTTGCCCGCGACACAACAATACAATCATTTTTTCTGTCCCCAAAGCGTTCCGAGTATTAACTACGGCCACATCTATTCATGGGCTGAGCTGCGCCGTGCTCAGAAAAGACATTGTCTATTCGGGTGCGTTAAAGCACCTACGTGTAAAATGAGAACTACTACTAACTACTAGCTATTAAAATATTCTCATGAACTCTGGTTAGGGAGCTCGAGGGTGTCGTGAAGATCTTATACGAAGGTCATAGAGCTAGAGTGATCTGGCTCCAGACTACTTCATGGAATTTAACGCGGGAATACACTCATGGAGTCTAAACTCAGCTATATCTCGTGCGAATTTCTGGCTCGAGATTAAGTTATGATTTCTATTGTACCTGGCTGGCCGCGGCCGTAGTAGCATCACCATGACTAAGCAAGACGGGTGCTGTTACTCTCAACCCCAGGTACTCAAACCCAAACCCCAAGTCACTTGCGATACGTTGGCATACCTTTCCACCTTTAAAGCTTGAAATTTAAAGCGAAGAAGAGGGGTCTAATCGAGATCCTCTGTATCTCCACAGATGATGTGCTACCTGGTGCAGAGCGCTGTTTTAACTAGAGATTTGGGGGCGGGCCTTGCGATTGGCTGGATTGCGTGTAACATGGGAGGGGAGAATGCAGATTCTGCGGAGATCCCGGCTTAGTAGGTTAGGCTCGGCCCGCTGCCTCTGTTTGCATGAAGCTTGGCAGACACCCTTGGGAGGGGTGGGCGGATATTCTGAGAGCAGGTATGTACAACAAGCGCGCGTCAGAGGCGGGGAAATTCTACATGCCCACACGAGATCCAGGAGGGGAATACCAGTACTACTAAACCCCGGCCTACCTTTATCTTCCCTTGATATATTTTGCTAGTCGATTAGTCTGAGCTGAGGGTATTGTTGCTCGCAGTGATTGGTAAGGTATGCTATATTGTTATTTGGATTGCCTTTGATTTGGTTGCTGATATCTGTTTTGCATTATTTTGTAGCATACGACACATAAACCCCCACATAAACCAACATGTCAGTCTCTTTTCCTCAAAACGGGACAGTCGACTGGACATCCTTGACTTCAATGACGGTATCCGTGCCGCTTACTCTGATGAGTCGACTATCACAAGCCGGGGTAGACCAATACACTCTTGAGCTTGTCAAGTTCTATGGGCAATTCATGAACCTGCCGAGCCAACATCTCGAGGTCGTGGAAAAAAGCCTCCTGCAAGCAAAAAAGTTCGGTTTCTCAGCCAACGCTCTTTTCGTGGGTACCGGCATATCATTGGTTCCATCACTATTGGCGAGAACTAGAGGAGGAATAGCCTTTGCTGCAGTCACAATGGCTCTTCGCGCCTCCTTCGAAGCAAACTTCGCAGCGAGAGTATTATCGGAATGGCTGAGCTTTTTTGAGAGACCAGCGGAGCTTTCATTACCATCGGTAAGCCAACTTCAAGCTCTTGGCAATGAAGTTGCTGGCTGCCCTATCGACCCGGAAATAGGCCATGTTATTTGGGGGCTCGAGAAATTGTTTGCAAAGAATTCAGGGACAACGCAGGTCAAGACAGCCAAGAGCGTGATAGCGCCTCCTCATGCCCAAGATTTAGCCAGTGCTATCCATACTATAATCACCATACGACCAGGTCAGAATGTTGTTATGAGGTTCAAATCATCTGTCGGACCAAGTGCGACCTGGCTCGCAGCGTTTGCCTCTAAGACAGTTGGGCTAAGTGTTTCCTTGGAGATTGGTAATAAAATCGTCTGGGAACAGCAAGAGAAATATTCCACCGCGTCAGGATCTCGTGGTCACCTTCGCCTGGTGATTGAGGCGTCGATGGATCCGGGAAACCCTAATCAACTTCAAGTCCTCAAATCAGCATCTGTTGAGATCACCCTACAACGCCAGGAAGCAAAGGTGGAAACTTCTTTCAGAATATCCCCCCAACCAGTTATAGATAGAATGCTCGAAGACATTTTCGATAATGCCGAGCAGCAAAATTTGGCGAGGGAATGCATTTGCAAGGCGGCGCATCATCTTTCTCAGAAACCAGCCGTCTTTGTCAACCAGACCGGCATATCGAAAAGCCCAAGGGTTACCGCCACATACCTGATAAACAAGAATCAAACAAAAGCTGCCCTTATGATGCTCGGGATCGATTCTGACTCCATAGACCTCTGGACTACAGAAGCAAAGGCAGTTATGGCCAAAGGACAAACACAAAAGATTCTGGATAGAAACGAACCACTGCCGAAATGGACCATGGAAGAAAATTTGACGGACCAACTTGGTCTGCCCTTCCTCGCCGCATTTAAGAGGCTACATGATGCAAGCAAGCAGACGTTTTCAGCCAAAGAACTCGGATCTTGGACAAAATCGCGTCTTGATGATTTCAAGAGGATTCTTATTCTTTGGACAGTGTTTACATTTGTCTCTGTACTGGTCCCAGGTAAGGATGTTATAAATCTTGATGGCAGAGCGTGCAATGGGATAGAGAAGGCAAATGGGGTCTTTTCGTCCTTTAATTCTTTGTGGCAACTGTATTATTGTAAGTTGAATGACAAGGGATTTATGGAGTATGTCAAAATTCAATCTACATTCGGTTTTGGCGCTCAGGAAGTATTCGATATTGGCGGTCAGGAAGGTATCTTCAAGACGTACTGTCTTACAACTTCGGCGGTTCACTCGCTCGCTTTCGATTTACTTGGAGGTTATACGGAGGCGTTCAGTACTTCGAATGGCGACACCGCTGGAGCCGTTAATGGGGGTACTTTTGTTGTGATGAGCACTCTTCTCGAATCGAATCCAGCACGACCAAGAGATGCAATGACTATTTTCGTAGGCCAAGGGGCAATCTTTGTTAACCAACAAGCAACGTCCTGCCTAAAATCTCTCAGCCGAGGTTTTAACGAACCATTAGAATTTAAACCGTCCTCCGAGTTTCAAGCATTTGGCCAAGCACACCCGTATATCCCAGGGAGCAAGGATTCAAGCGATCTTACACAGATAAAGATTAATACGAGTCTCTACGTTTCCGAGAAGCCCGATATATCGTATGCGGCTTGGTCGCTGAATGGTCGCGATGGAACCGACGTGCTATTCGACGTGCTACTCTCCCCACATCAAATCTTGCACAATATTGTTCATGCCCACTTTATAGACTTTGACGCACCAGCCAGTCAAATCCCCTCGTTTTTTATAGAGAAACCCTTCTCCGAGAGATATAAAGCGGACGAGCTATTTGTCGAGAATGTGGAGGAGTTGTGTTCTGGGCGCACCAATGGTTTGGTCCAGCTGGCCATGGCCTCGAAAAATCATGCAGCGCAGATATTGGCCTTCCATTACGCTTTGTGCAATAACTTGATTGTATATGTTTGTCCTTTTGACCAGCTGGAATCCGTTTCCCCTCGATATCCGGGGGAAGCTTGTGTGATAGTTACATGAAAATCAAGCAGCTTCTATCTATATATTGTGAGTGCATCTATCAGTTAGTTATTTGGATACTATTCAAGACTAACCCCGGCACTGCTAGCCTCCATATCTAACGGCTCGAATTTTGGCGGTCTTGGGGGGGGGGGGGGGGGGATCAAATACCGAACATTGTATTGTAGCTTTCATTGGCATGTATTATGAAGGTCGTTTATTGGCCAGAGATTCTCAGGTTACCAGTCACTTTACTTTCAGTATTGATCTCCCCGTAAATTGAGAGAGGTTGGCCCAAAATAGTTTGTTGGTCCATTACATGTGCAAATTGTACGTATTAACGGGGATCTGCTATTTCAATTACGTGCCATATACCTAACACTACTCGCTTGCTAGCTGATCTCCTTTGAATAAAAGGAAGATCTGGAATATACCTTTTGCTTTCTTCTCGCCGATAGTCTTCTAGGTGGAATTGGTGGTGTGTGCGCGGCATTTGATAGACACAAAACCGACACCGACTTAGATTTTCCCGGCCTATAATTTACATCCGTGATGCCGAGAAGGAAACCTGAAACCTAATATTAAGTAAGCATGTATCCTCGCGTCTAATGTGATACATATAGCTGTCTTCTGAGAACTTACCGTATAAATGTTCCTACCCGCGCCGGAATTGTTATGTCTCTACGCACAAACGCAGCCGCTCTGGTAAAGGCCCCGTTGACCAGGCGGAGAACCGCCGCGCCTGGGAATGAAAGAATGGCGTTGGGCCGGATTGAGTTGTGATTGGTAAATAAGCTCTCTTTCGGTGCTAAAATGCGGGGAGGAAGCAGGGTGGTCGGGTACGGGCATTGTATTGGGTGATGACCTTGATCTGATGTGAAATAGGTGGTGGCATTGCATACATCAAACATCACTCGCTCTCAATTGATTGGGCGTTTCGAAAAATGTCTGTTGCCGGTTATCTGAGCCCTCGTCTATGAGAGTGGGTCCGGAGCGTTAGTGAAATGCGTATTACCGAAACTGTTCTAGCTCTGTAGTGGAATTGCAAAAGAGAACAGAGTTCCCATTCCGGGCTGCATCACAGTCGGTCACTCGCACACCGAACCGACGTGGCAACCAATTCCTTTTAGTAAGCTTATATGTGGATGTAAACACATCACCTACCGGTAATTCTCGAGAAATCCACTATCTCCGCTTCGCTAAATCTTAATTCCGGGTGAGAAAAAGTACATACATGTATGTATCTGCACGAATCCGTGAAGTTTGATACGCCAATTCGCCTTGGTTCGGACTTACCACATACAAATACGGAGATAGTGGATTATTCGAGAATTAACGGTACATGTACACCCGTGTCTAGATAATTCCTGGAGCCCCCATAGCAACGGAGTCAACTTTTCGAAACTGAACAATAACAACCAGATACCTATAGAAGAAAATATAGATACAGGTAGAATAGACATAGTCTCTATTTCCTATATGGATATTTTCGGGTTGATGCAACGAACTGCTGATGAGCTAGAATTAAAAGAGTATTGTTTGTAGTATTGTTTCATACAAGTATAATTAGACCTGCCAAAAGCGGAGGCCAAAGATACAAAGTAATGTTTTTTCACAACTTGTTTTAGGATATTCTTATTCTACATTCTCTCTTTAGCTATCCTGTCCAATCTTGTATGAAAGTTCACTTTGGTTGTGGTTAATTGAGCCGTGGGAGTCCCGTTGCCATGATGGAGGGGCTCCGGGAATTTTCTAGACACGGGTGTACATGTAGCATTCTCAATGCAAGCCTAATGCGCCCACAAACATCTTTCCTATCTTTTCCTTACCCGCTTGGGGGAGAGGCCCTTACAAGCACTGATGGTAGTAACAATTAACCTTTGTGCAAGTGTACACGGGGTAGCACCGGTGTGCTCAACCCCATCACGCTGCCCATGCATACCGCATCACTGGCACAAATCAGCAACCACCCACTCAAAATTCCACAAAGGATACACAAACCTTATTCACACTCCCAATCCCAGCGGTTGGGCCCGGCGGTAGCGTCACCATACCCGAACCCCCGGATCCCAACACCTTCGTGTAACCGTCTAACACGGAACGCCGGACCTGGAAGTGAGTATGGCGCTGCGACACCGGGCGTTACGTAGGTGTATGCGCCTTAGAATGAGATGCCGGCGGGGAGGGTGCTGGTGCGGGCGGAAGTCACCTCGATCTGAATGTATCCATGTATAGATGAGCACTGCGGGCAGGTCACTGGTGAACGCGACATTGCCTTTATGGAGGGTGGCAACCTAGAGGCGGGGGAGGTACATGTACTTTCCGGGAGTGACATTGATGATGGCAATGTGCGTCTTACCCTTGCTGATGTGCGTTAGCTAGTGGGACCAGAGATATTGATGTGATATAGGGTCGAAGGGAGTTAGTACAAGGAAATGAGCTTTTTCTCACCCTAGTTGGATATTGTACCGGCACCTTGAAAGAGCTTTGCCTAGAAATTTCCAGCATCGTTTCTCGCGGCGGTAGCTATGTATGCGGGGTTTATCGGGCCCTCGTGGGCTATAGTTCCCACCCCCAGCATCAAGAGCCATGCAAAATGGCAGAAAAGTGCACGTGCAGGAAGGAAGCCTAGAGATGAAATGATATCACCATTAGTCGACCTAGAGTCATGATGCCACTCCAAGGTGAAATTGCCACCAGATTTGACTGGGATCGATTTTATGAATACGAGGGCCATCGGGTTCATATGTGAATGAAATTATTCACTGGTAGTCGGCCAGAATTACTTGAACTTTCTGAGTAAAACAAATATCTCGATATGATTAATCTCTTACTACTTGATCAAAGTAGCCATATATATGATCATCATGTATTTGCCTCTTGTTTCGCAGTATGTCAGCCACCAACTCGCTTGAAGACGCGAATTAATTTTATATAGGAATATGAGACGGAAAATGGGAAGAGATACCGTCACGGCATGCACTTGAAAGATAGAGCGCAAACCTGTCTCAGCGGAGGAGAACTCCTATGCTACCAGACCATGAAACGGTAGGACACGAAGTAGTAGTAAGGATGTCAACTTCGACTTTGTAGTGGCACTACCCCGAGACTTCTGGATTCATTTATCAAAATCCGCGCAATGGGTAAAGTGCGTTAGATAGATCAATTAATTCAAAGATTTCTTCCTAGAATATCGAATTTTTTGGAGTCCGATACGATACTAGTCGGTCATCTCCGGGCAAGCTAATCCCTTTTCTACATGTAGAAAGCTCGTCATTAAAGAATAGAATCGAAATAGTAAGAGGTCAATCAAATTTCAGTACCAAGCGAGAAAGAAAAACGGTTTCGCGGGCCTTAATCACCCCAGAAGCGCCAGCAGTCTTGGCAAGTAGATACTATTGGTCTATTAATGTGCACCAGATCCTGTCGTTAAAGCTGGTGCCTCCAATGAATGAGTGGAATAGGTATGTATATAACCCACTCACATTTAGTGGAGGACAGCCATTGAGTAATTTATGTCAATCGAGGATGTTGAAGGCGTGCGTTAAAGAAGCTCCCGATTTAGGAAATTCATCTTGCAGCTGCCTATCGGTCAGTATCCCGATTTTTCTAGACCTTCCGAATTCTCTATACAAGAGGAGCTCGTACAACACAGGCAGCCTTTTTTCCCCGTTTATGACTAAGAGTCAGTCTTACCTATGCCTTGAGCCTTTATTTAGGATCGTTCTAATATGCTGACAGAATAACAGCCCGAATACATGTACTTCTGGGGGTGAGAATGAGAAAAGGTTTCCCTCCACCTAGTCAACGTCAGTACTAGAAGCTCTCTAGGAGTAGCTATAGACTTACTCATACGCCCACAGTAAAGCCGATTTGCAAAGGTAAGTGAAATGGGCCTGCCTTGAGTAGTGCAATTAGCCACCTTAGACATGTTCCAAACTGCGCCTCGGAGACCATACTTTCAGATGATATGCTATTCCTTCCTTCTCATATACTGTTTCCCCGCTATACATCATCAAAAATAGCCTTCAAGAGCGAAATTTTGAGGCTGGGATTGATGATCATCGGTTTTGCTCACTCTGTCCCCAAAGGTGTCTGAAATATTTATGGCTATAGAAGTAGGGATAGGTGGCGGAAGAACGGAGCCTCAAGAGAGCAGACGTCTCAGTTTATTGTGTGTGTATGTAAGTAGCCAATCATAGTTTACTCGAACACAATCATGGATGCGCTCTTAGATGTCATGTCAGGTGACCTATCGGGCCGTTCGTCCCATAAATTTAAACTCTCTCATCGTGACACACATACATACGTGTCATGGACCAACGTCACACAATTCTGTACCCATCTCCTACAGACCTGTCAATATCAAGAAAACGCCGGCGATTCATCTTTTTCCCCCGAAACTTCTAGGGTTCTAAAACAGCAACAGGTGAGAGCTAATCCACCAAATCCGAAATCTAAGATTAATGAGCGAGGCCGGGAACGCACTTAAAGCACAGTCAAACGAAACACCCCCCCCCCCCCCCCACACACACACACTCGATGGGTAATGGCTAATCACATCTAATGGCGGATATAGGCTTGAGACCAATGGTAGAGCTCGCTTTGGCCATTGCGAAGCCACACTCAGTTGTACTGTATATGCACCCCCTGTCCGCCATCAGGCAGATACATGTACATATGATCCGCTGTTATTCTATCAGTGTAATACCCAACTCGGTGGAACTAGTCAAATATCAACCTCTTAATCACTGCTGTACGTGCTCGGTCTTGTTCCAGGTTTTCCGAAATCCAACTTAACTGGCGTGGCCCTGCGGCATAGGAGGCCTTTTTCTAGAATAAAATACTTGATGATCTATTACGAGTCCATGGCCTTTTGCCTACATTACATAGAGCCGGTAAAATAGCCTCTTCCTTATTCTTTTTTGGATTTCTGCATTTTGTGGAAGTAAGCGCGGATTTTATCCCCCCATTGGGTATTTTACCTGTGCGAATTGAATCTGACATGCAGATGTCATTACGATCACGTGTTCAGATCATCGTCTATCACTCGCGTCTAGTAAGTGATCGTTGTGACAAAATTAAGCTTCTTGTATTACATATCCAGGTCCAAGCCTACGTACAAACCCTGTGGGGCTATTTGACAGCAAATATAGCCCTTAAAGCATCCGTTCCAGGTCGGGAGCGAAACCGGCACAGATGGAAGCAGCGCATTTCAACATAAGAGTTTTATCGCTTATCATCTGGAAGAAGACTGATAACGTTATTTTTAATATAATATGTCACCTCACGGGGAGATCCGGGACATCTATAGCAGAACCGAACGATACTCTAGCCAGTCAACTGGGTTTGAGTAACCACGGGGGAGCTCGCACTTACAAAACCTGAAACTTTCCAAGACACCCTCTTCTACTATTCATCTCGCTAATTTGTATCAAGTAGATCATCGCGTGGCTACAGCCTCGAAACAAATTAACGCCTAGTGGTCCCTGCACATTAAGTGCTGGGATTTATCCATAATATCCCTGTCGAAACGTGGATAAACGTCTAAGCCCTCTTCCCTCTGGAGACGAAGAAACAACAGAATAGAAGTTAAATACTCGCCATAGCGATGCATACATACTCCACGTATGCTCAGTCCCAGTTGGCGGCAAATGACGCAAACTGAGTGGTATAGCACTTATATGCACTGCGCATTTGATCCAGGATTAAGCAACCCCTGGAGAACTTGCATATTAACAGCGGATGCTCATAAATTTACTAAGATCTGCATGTAGTAACGTTTCAAGTGATTCTGTGACAAATTAAGACCAACACCCCCCAGACTTTTAGCTTAGGATAACTTAGGTTCGTGGAGTAGTTCTATCACATTAGCGCTATATAGGGGGAAGAAAATAAAGAATCCTCACGTGAGTTCATTTATTTATTAGATGTACAACACGCGCAGCTGCGCATTCCAGGGAAATAACCGTCCTGACTATAACATTCATATGGTATCACTCGGTGGCTCATATTTCACCTCAGCACTTACGCCGCACTTCTCGTATAATTATAGTTAACTTGTTTGAAGAATTTTGTGGTTTATTCCGAATATAGTTAATTAGCTAATTTCTTTTTTTGCACTGCCCTGTTTTCGGGCCGGCTGGAGACCAGAGCACTTCACGGGACAGCGCCGCAAGTGTCATAGAAACAGACCACTTATCCCTCGCACCTCTAAAGCTCCCCATCTTTGCTAAGTATCATGTCTCAATGATTTGGCTTGCGTGGGAGAATCGGCTAGTGCTACTATGTCTCAAGTTGGCAGCATTTCAGGAATAGCTTAAGGGATACCGGAGTTGCATGTAGATTTGAGATTCAAGGGTTGATTGTGACTCTTTTATCAAATAGAAAGGGAATAGCCAGCCATTAGAGGGCGCTACTTGGCTCAACATCTGAAAACTACCCTATGGTGTCCCCGATCTTAAAGGTAACAAAATTCAATCCCTTATAACTTCACCACCACAATAGATATCAAAAATCTGTCAAGAGAAAGGCTAGAAATAGTAGTGAAGAAGAGATTGTCTTGACAGATTTTGATATCTATCATGGTTATGAAGTTATAAGGGATTGAAATTGGCTGTTTTTGTATGTAAAAAGCGCCAAGAGTGAACGGAGTGGAACAGTATTATACCCATTTATACCCCTTAAAAAGCAAACCTGCCTGAGCCGTGGCAGTGAGGCACCAAGCTGGCTAGAAATGGGCCCTCTTATTGGCCTTTGGAGTCAGATTGCAGCCACGATTGTTCCACTTCCATATGCGGCGTGTCACCTTTAAGACTGGGCGCACATACATCTAGGGCGCCCATTATTGATTGCAATCCAATGACTCTATCTTCATTACTGTAATATAAAATAATTTTCTTTTGGCTAGAATGAGGATTCTGATCTGAAATAGGAAGGAGAATCGATTCTTGATAAGCGAAGAGAAATGCTTCAAGATGTGGTTATGAAAGTGAATATATTTCTGGCTTTATATTGCATCATAGTAGCAAATTTAACTCTTCTATATCATGCTGTATGTAACAGTATTCACAAGTTAATTCCCAGTTAGTGAGACACGAGAAACCGCAAGGCCATGAGAACACAAAAAGATAGACCAGAGCATATTTCTAAAAAAAAGAAAATCTGTTTTATGTGTGTTCCAGCAAGGAACAATTTCAGTTCTACCCTCAGTTTTCTAGTACTCAATCCCTCATATCTATGGTCAATTCTGTATTGTACCACAAGAACATGTAGGGATAAGTTCCACGGTGCGTCATCAGGCGCTTCTGATTTTCTATTTTTTGTACATTACCTTTCACAATCCATATAGATCTGAATGCAAGTATTCAGACGACATGTAGAGATATAGGAAGAAATCTCTAGTCTAGTAATATAACGCTCACAAAAGACCAATTAATGTCATACTAAAAAGATGAAAGGAAATAGAGAATACCAGCTCTATTTATAGGAACATTCTAGATAAATATGCAATTATCACAAAGAAATGCGTGAATAAAACCTCTAAACTCCTTAAACTGGACCCCCGGTACTCCCCCCTTGACAGACGAAAAACAAAGAGAACGAACGAAAAAAATAAAAGAAATACATCTTATGTAGCATGCATATTTGCAATACCAGTGAAATGAAATATAGTAAACCGTTGATAAGACGACAACCCTTCGGCTCTTCATTCCGATCTCATCCAAGACTCGAAACGACCATAACCTCGACGGAAAACAGCTTCCCGAACTCAATAAGCTTTCTAGAGAGCTCATCCTTTTTGAATCCATCATCCCTAACGCATATGAGGGCCACCGGTCTGAAGTCTTTCTCTGAGATAGCCTTTGGCTTACACAGATCTTGCCAGTCTTCCGACTCCCACCACTTACCTCCTTCTCCTTGGGTCGCTTTCTTGACCGGCATCAACAGGAATTTCAAGACCCAAGTGACATCTAATGGTGATCGATTTCCGTCGTACTCATCGAGATAACCCTTGAGAATATCAGCCGGGCCGTTTCCGGAGGGTTTGATGACCGGTGTGGAAGCAATCATTTGCTTGAATTTCTTGACCGATGGGTGATCGTCCCAACCATGAAATATCTGCCCCACTCCGTGAACTTCGCAGGGGTGGGCAACAGACGCGGAACTATATTCCCCGACGCAGATCGCTGTCGGTTTTTGACAGGCGGGTCGATTTGTGATATGCTCCATCCGGCTATTCAAGAATGACCCCCAGCCATTACCTCGAGAACCTGGCGTCTTATTTTCTTCTTCTGCGGATGGTGCGCTGAAGACCATGTCAATCTCTGCTGCTGAAAATACTGGAGACGAAAGATCATAAACGAGATGCGCACAGAGAACAGGCCACTTGAAATGGCGGCGTTTCCTTTCTCTGGTTGTAGGAGACAAAGCTTGCTGTGATGAGGCCTGGGAGAGGACCTGGGCGGCCTCGGGATGGTTCATTGAATTCATGCTCGAGAGATATATCCACTTGAAGGAGACCTTTCGATGAGATATGCTTGAATACTATCTTTTCGACGTATGTATGTTTGTATGTATGTATGTATGTCTGCTTGTTTGTCTGTTGCATGTATGTAGGTTTTTATCAGAGACTTTGTTCGCCTTTTATTCTAAACAGATGAAGTTTCGTTTTTATGCAAAGCGTTGTGTGCCTTAAGGTCAGAGAATGGGTGTATCAGGTTCGGTATAGCTTGGAAAGGTTCTGACTCCACGAGTGCCAGTCGAGCCGGGAGAGAAACCGGTCTATGCAACGCCTACAGTATTACTTCTGGTATCAAACTAGCAGGACGAGGCGGTACCGCAGTAATGCTTTTCTTTTCCCCTACTCCCTCTCTTCATACAGCTATGTTTGCGGCGTGGCATAACAACAAGATATTCTAGATCATTATGGAGTAGTAAGTTGTTTTCAAGATAAGGTAGAAGTAGAAGGAATGGACGCTCTGTCTGCCTCGTTATTCTCCAGCCCTTGCGTATGCTTCTTTTCAATTTTGGCCAGCGGGTGGCGCATGGACTCTTGGCTCCTAAGCTAGTTAGCCTTGTACAACAATTCTAACGAACGACGGGGTTCTATCACCTTAATTGTGGTTCGCACCGCGATCAAACTAACTTAAAACCTGGTTATGAACTCACGATCCGCATCTACTGATTGAAGCTCAAACTCCGGTGCGCAGTCCCCTTCCATACAGCGGGGATTGGAAACCTCCCGGACCAAGAGTTAAACTATCAACATTCTTTACCGGTCCCCTGGCATCCCGACTATGGTGGACCATATAACAAATATAGTCCATGCCTCTTTGGCCGTAGCTTCTCTACCTGAGCTCAGCGGATGTGGGTAACTATCATAGTCTCAAACTGAAGCCAACTGATTCCATTTCCAAGGACTTGGGTACTCAGTTCAAAGCCTTTGTGTAACCGTCGAAAACATCTGGTAAATTGTGTTTGACACATTGCTTAACGTTTAGTGGATTTACCGGAGTATACACACCAATTACCCCTACATCATAGTGCTAAAATGGTTATATCCATCTTTTGCGAATTTCTCAAACAGTCACCCATCCGGGCGGTGCACTTTCAAGTTCGCGAGATTTTGATACCTAAGGGCGGAGGTGGGGGGGTGGAGGTGGAGAGGAAAGGTAAGTCGTACCTGGGTGACGTGATAGCCAGGCAGTGAGACCTCCGAGATCTGTAGACCAATGATATGCATGCATTCCCGAGTTTGAGAACGTATCGTACCGAAAGGGGGGTTAAAATAACTACGCAACATGAACCAACGTCAATGAGCAACAATCATCGATCACTGTACAAACTGATAGGATTTCGGGGTCGTGCTACAAAAGCAAGATGTTTACATCCTAATAATTGCCTTGCGCCAGGGGTCTCCACATGATGGCTTCATCCGGGTGCTATGCGAACACGGGGTTATTTTCGTCTTGCTTCAGTAGATACTCACATACGTATACTTACACTCTGACTACCGCGTTTCGTTCCATTCATTGCCCTAGCTATGTCAAACATAGCACAAGCCTCATTTACTACATGTAAGTAATCAAGTACGTGTGATGGTAAGCGTTGTTGGTAGTCGTCGGAAATTGGTCTGTTGGCCTAGGGGATGTAATGGGGCTGTGTGCGGGCCCAAGTAATGCATGCAGCAGAAACGTTATGGCGGGAACTGGCCCATCCCAAAAAACGGACTGGCGGTTCAAAATTGGAACGTAAAGGAGAAATTAAACCTGAATAGTCTCTGAATTCAGTATATATAGAATTTAAGCATTTTAGTCTGGTGTTGCATGGGTTTAGATTGCCTTTGACTGTTATCAAGGATAGTGAGGTTATTAGACTAGTAATCCAAAAGCGCTTACTCACTACTACCACCTAATACGTCCGTCCCACATATGTATCTCTGAGGTTCAATCTCGAAAATTGACACTAATGTCTCTAGCACCCATTCCAAATGATAGCTTCATTCTGCCTTGTTCTTTGTAAGTTTAAGCGAACTGTGGACCGCTCGATTAGCGAATCACGGTAGAGAATTTAAGGAAGTGGCTCATCGAGAGGCTTCTCGACGATTTGAAAAAGCTTAGATAAATGTAGCTGAAGATTAAGAGTCACTTCAGTCCGGTATTAAATATTTCTATTCAGCCGATTCGTCAAATTTCTTGATTCAACCACCAAGCCGCTAGTGCCATGCACTTAGTCGTAATTATCGATATTCACCCGTCGGTAGAGGAGTAGAGTAGAAGATATGTAGGAAACCTTCGAGTGCATATCAACGGCGGTGTAATTCTCTCAGCCTCGTTGTGGCTAGAGTAAGATATTAGATCGACATGAAGGAGGCCTAACATCTATATTACTAGAACATTTATCAGTCCCTTAATCCTTCTGTCACTCAAGTGTCTATTAAGTTGTTGCTCAGCCTGAATTTGATCGGCATAAAGCTTTTAAGGTATTTGCTTGTTCATCATACCTTGGCCTTACATGATGATTCACAATACATACCCGTGGTCGTGAACGGATCAGTAATCAACGGCAGCCATATGTCAAACATTTTATGCCAATGTGTTTTGCTTCACTTTTGCCACTTAGAGGAATTGTTTTCTGGACGGACCAGAGGCGGCGGGTTAAAGAAGTATAGTCCTCGATAGATCCCGGTGTGTACATACTCAGAGAAAGGATCTATTCAAGTTGTCGTGCACATACCGACATCTATAAGAAGCCCTCGGAGCAGTGTCGGACATAGTGACTGCAGCCGCTGGAACTGTATTTTATTGGGAACTCCGGATACCTACCTACCTGAGATAGCAGGTATTTGGATTAGCTACCGGCGGTGTGGTAGCTTCCGTCCCGGTCATACTAAATTACCCCGGATTTTTTATGCATCCGAGTCGAGACAGCGGCCGTCCAGGCTCGTCTCATGGTTGATGGTGCCATTGCTTATTAGGGGTGCCGAGGGAGCACATGTGTTTCTGCCGTTTTGGTAGAGCCTGCTTCTAGAAATAAAAGCTGCCCATCCGTTGTGCAATGTCGTGATCTAATCAGATAAAACCCCGTATCCTCGGTTAAACAACCCCGCGTTCTTCATAAATCCTCACCAGATCTCAAGTGCAGGGTGTTTACCGCTTCCTTCCAGCTTTCAATTCTTCCTTGTAAGGATCAATCGATAAGAACAATGCCTCCATCTTCTGTTGATGCCGCAGACCTTCCCGCACGAGCCGGCCTTCGACCGGAAGACCTAACGACATCAACGTACACCGATAAAGCCCAGGAGTGTCAGATTTTGAAGGAGCGGCTTGCTGCGGCGTTCAGGTTATTTGCAAAGTACGGGTTCGACGAAGGTGTCGGTACGTGCATTTTTTCCGTACCATGGCTCTGGGAAGCGATAATGGGCGGAGCCATGGATAATAATAGTAACTCACCCTCACCTGTACCTGTTCTAACGTGGTTTCTCCTTCTCGAACTCTTCTTTAGCGGGCCATATTTCTTTACGGGTAAGGCTGGCCGCCTCCACCCCTTCTAGAATATCTAGAATTTCGCTAACCATGTACCCTGCAAAAAAGGATCCTGTTGATAAAAGCACATTCTGGGTAAGCATACACCCGTAAAACCTCACCAGCGGATTTCGCCTAATCCAAGTTGATCTCAGGTGAACCCACTCGGCCTCCACTTTTCCCTCATCAAAGCCAGCGACCTCATCCAAGTAGATGCAAAAGGAAAAGTAATTGCCGGTGGTCCAAACCGCCGCTTAAACCAAGCAGCCTTTGCTATACATTCCGCGATTCATGAGGCTAGACCTGACGTGGCTTGTGCGTGCCACTCACATTCGATTTATGGCAGGACCTTCTCGACTTTGGGGAGGGAGCTGGATATGATAACGCAGGATAGCTGCTCGTTCTACAATGTAACTCATTGATGTTGTGTACCCTCGTAGATATGCTGATAGGCTTGTGCTGTAGGACCACGTCATCTATAGAAACTTTAAGGGCGTTGTTCTCGAAGAAGAGGAGGGAATGAACATTGCAGAAGCCCTTGGAGATAAGAAGGTATTCCTCCACTCTTATTATTCTGGCTGGCCTGACTCTTCTACGTAACAAGGTCGCTTTACTCCAAAACCACGGGATCCTAAGCACAGGCAAAACAATTGAAGAAGCTGTCTTCTGGTTCGTCTCGATGGAGAAATGTTGCCACACTCAACTCATGGCTGATGCGGCCTGTGCTGGAAGAGGCGGAAGTCCGATCAAAATTGCGGACGAAGAAGCAGCCACAACGTATGTTTACGCCTCCCTCTGAGTTTTTCAATGGAAGAGGTATGCTGATTGATAATACATTAGCCACAAGGTGATGGGATCTATTATGTATGGGAGGATGTCAGGATTAGCACTTTTCGATATGATTGAGAATGAGACAGGGGGCCAGTACAAACTCTAAAGGAGATTATTACCTGTTATTGTAGCCGCTCAATGTTATGTTATCTAGTATATCCAATCCAAACCATCCGTGGCTGCTTTCCTGGTTCGTGCAAGTTGTTTCCGCAAGGACAAAGTCATGTAGAGTAGTCATGGTCAACAAAAGCAACTTCATATCAATTTGAACATACTCTGCCAGTGGATGGACTTTTTCAGTGGATGGATTTTTTCAGTGTATCAATCGAGGATTGAAGGTCGGTGGAGTAAACGATGCACAAGGGCTGACAAGAGATGGAATTGAATGGTGAGTGGTTGGAGGAATTATTTGCCAAGACAACGCATCCTAGCCAGATCAGCCTGCGTAATAGATGACAAAAGCCAACTACATGGACGTACTACATGTAGCTACGTGCATGTAGGCATCCATTCAACTCAAGGCTGTCATAAAACATTTCTCTTGATTCCTCCACAACTGGAAGGAACAACGCCACAAGTGCAGCTTGAGCGTAATATCCCCCTGTCCAACGCCCCCAGGAAACCACGGATCACCTGCAGAAGATTAATGGAGATCTAGCTATCCTGGCAGGAGGGATCTCGAGTCTACTGTGCCTTTGCCCGTATTAACTAAAGATTGATGGGAAAAAAGAAAAGAAAAGAACAAGAAACCAGAATCTCCGTTTATGCCAATAAATAGCTTCTAAAGCCTTGGTCTGGGACTGAACTTAGCATCCGTGTCATCAATACTTTCACTTCCAGCTGAGATTGAAAGTCTGTTGGTTCAGTATTCGATACGACGAGGAGGAAAAGAGTGCGAATATGACTCTAGTATATCCGGCCCATCAGAGAAGAATGTCCAGGCGCTTAAAGAATATTTGGAATAGATAGAGATTACATATCCTCCACCTACAGAGAGGGGTGAGCAATTACATATTCCACCTTAATTTCAAATTACCATTGATTCGTTTTTATACGAGACATGAAAAAGCCGAGATGCACGAGCTAAAGGATGGTGAAAGCGAGGAGAAAGACCGGGCCGGAGAGATGCGGCAAAGGACAATGACGCTGAGGTCAGGACAGACACTCTTGGCAGTTTTCATATCATATCACTAATTCGACATCTACAGAGAACGAAGGGCCTCTTCTCGCCATGTAGGGAGCAGGAATTACGCCTTAATTAGTTACACTTACTCATACAGAGTGCGGTTCACGAGGTTGCTCGAGGCGAGCAGAGACAGGTGCCTGGAGGTGCATCTGCCTCGTATGGCCCATGGTTTGCTTGCTGGTGCAAAGAGATGTGATGCCTCGAGGCAGATATTAACTATATTTAGACCTGTTAACTTGCAATTGCAGATGTAGTTAATACTAGTATGGCCGAGGAGCCGGCTCAAGTCGAGCCTTGGCCATAGCTCGAGCCAACTTATCTCGTAGAAGGTTGGGCTCGTACTCGTGGGAAAATTCTCAAACCCTCAAGCTAAGCTCGAGCTAAAATGATGAATTGATTTATGAAAAATAGGTCCTATTATGCTTAATTACAGACACTCTTGCACGTATCAAAGACAGAAACCATAAGAAAGGTCTGCCCAAAGACTAGCATCTGAGCAATAGAAACATACAAATGGTTCATGCTATCTCAAGTTGAGCTTTCCATAACGCTCGATCCAACTCGACTCGTGGCCCACCTAAGCTCGTAGGGCTTCTACATTTAATACTAGTATGCAGTTCAAACGAAGCAAATATATATTTATTTGGTATAAATATTGACGAAACACCCCAGAATCCAGAAATGCTTCTAATATTTCTATCAATAGCGGAATCATCAATCCCACAGGATAAATACATGCATGCCACTAATCCTATGATTACCTAAATCTCGAGCATGCTCGCCTCGTGAACCCCCATACTCACAAACTTCGTCAGCACGTTGTTAACGCGTGAGTATTCCCGGTACAAAGGCAGTAACTACCCAGTCCACTGGTCGAGAACTAAACCTCCTTACCCTTAATCAAAAACTATCCAACCAAAGGGCTCGTACACCACCGCCCCGTCATCTCTCTAACCAAGACCGACCACAATCATACCTCTCACCCTCCACTATACTTACAAAATCCTAGCGGGAACATCAAGTAGTCCCACTCCAACCAGCAGCGCGAATATCTATGATCATAGCCTATCACTCGTCTCCACCCACCCCTGATTGGCTTCCGAGAGTTAATCAAACGGGCGCAAACACTCGCCCCCTAGATCCGCAGCGGGAGATAAAGCGCAAAGTCTACAGAGATGGGGCGAAGGGATGATGGCTATACAGATAACCTGTGGAGGCAGTGTTGTATTGGGGGTCGCAAGCAGGTGCAAGGCGCGCGGGCGGTACGTTGGCAGCCCGCGGAGAGCACCTACAGAGGACAAAGCCTCGCACAAACCCAAGTGCTTTGAATTCCGCGGGCGATAGCATGATGTGGATGTACGCATCAAAGCCGTTGTTGTGTGCGAAAGAGCTCTTTGGTTTTTGAGTGTGCTTTCCCGGTATGGTAAATATCAACGTTGGGCTGAGTAATTGTGCACGTGTAACCAGAACCAATGATCACCATACCGGTTTTCTTTCGCGTTGATTGATAATTTATTGTTTTTCTTTCACACTTGTATGTATATAATTCAACCATTTATCTGAAGACTCCAAGAAGACCGCAGGTACATGTGTAGTACTTTGTAGAAGTGAAAAAAAGTAGTATTTACCGCTACGCAGTATTGTGATGGCAGCTCTACACTGCAAATTCAAAAACACATAAATAACCCCGCAAGAAAGGAGGGAAGGGACCCCTCTAAAGATCTAAAAGATCGTAATATCATCCTCCACCCACCCATCCATTCATCATTCATCACACCACAAAAAAAAAAGCTACCTACGCTACCTACAATTATCTACCGCTACTCCACCTTCGGAACCGCGCGATCACACCCCTCCTTCATCCAGCTCGCCTCGCACCAAAAGTCGCCCCCCAGCCTCTTCCTTGCCTCCACCGCGTCCCTGAGTTCCGTAAACTCAATCACCACCTCTCTCCCTTTCGTATGGCCGTCCGCCGCAACCCTGCCGCTCGCGCCCTCACACACCCAGAACGCGATCTTCTTCCCGCCGACGTCGGACACAATGCGCTGCAATGGCACTTCGTGTGGGACGCAGTGGAGGATGAAGACGCGGCTGGCGCCGTAGCGCACTACTTGTGTAGCAAGGTCCTTGTCGAGCGTGCGAACGGGCTTCTCGTTCCACGAGAACTCGACATTGGCGAGCTTTTTCGCCGCGGAGTAGGCCATAAAGGCGGATGCGTCGCTGGGACTGAGGAACCAGAGGAAGGCAACGTCTTTTTCTTGCCCGATGCGGACGGATTCGAGGGGGCCGCCGGAGATGAGGGCGAGGAGATCTGCAACGTCGGGGGGCGGGCCACGGAAGCGGCAGAGGACGCCGCGGGGGGAGTCTTTGGAGGCGGTTATGAGGGTGTCGATTTCGTGGTCGATGGATGTGTTGGTGTTGATCCGGTCGAAGAGGGAGCGGGGGTCGGAGGACTGTTGGTGTTGTAGGGGCTGCTTGACACGGTCGAAGAGGGAGCGCTGGGGAGGGGAGGGCGGCGGGTTTGTCGGGATTGGCTGTGCTGCCTGCGAGGCTCCAGGGGTGTCGGCGAAGGCCCGGATGGTAAAGTTGCTGCGGGATGTGGTCGGTGTTTGGGCAGTGTCATCTTGATCCTCGGCGGTACGCTTGGTGCCGCGGGTGGTCTTTGGCGATATGGGCGTCGGGAGTTTGGTGGCTGAGCCGTTGGAGTTGTTGGTCCCATTTGACCTTGTGGGGAACAGTTCGACCTGGTCCTTTCGTTCCGTGGATCCCCTTCGTCCATTGAGCTGGCTGATAAGGTTGTCGATATCATTATTGAGGCGGGCTTTGTCCTGACGGAGGGTGTGTATTTCACCCAACATGCGCTCTGAGCGCTCCTCTAAGGTTATAATCTCGCTTTTAAGGCTTTGGTGCGTTTGTGCTTTTGTTTCAAGCCTCCGGGAGAGCTTTTGGTTCTGATCAATAAGTTTCTTGTTTGCAACCTCGAGGTCCACAACTCGTGTAGTTGTAGTTACAGACCTTTCCACCCTAAACAGCTTGACCCGCATCTCGATCAATTCACTGTTAAGACGTGTCCTCTCAGCTTGTACGGATTGTAATTTCTTTTCTACAGCCTTCTTATCCTCAAGAATCTTCGCATTATTGCCTGTTAGGTGCTGGGTGCTTTCTTGATATTGCTTGATTGCGGCCCCCTCCCGCTTGATGTTATCCTCCAGTTGATTTATCCTGGCTCGAAAGGTCTTTTCAGATTCCTCAAATTTTTTCTTCCATGCCTCTATCTGCTGTGTATCCGCTTTGGAGGTAACTTCGCTTTCATCAGCCAATTTCTTCAGTTGGGCCACAAGTACTGCCTTTTCATCCTCCAGCTCGCCGTTCTTTGTCTCCAGCACGATATTCTTCTTTGTCATCTCCTCATACTGCGTTTCCATCGCATTCATCTCAGCCACAAGATCCAAATTCTTCTTCTGTAGGTCAACGTTACACTGTTCGTTAGTATTTGCCACGGTCTTCAGCACCCCAATCGTCTTATTCTGCGCCACGATATTCTTATTCAGCGCCGCATTGCCATCCTCAAACGCCTTGAGCCTCAACATCAACCTCTCATTCTCGGTCTTCAGCACTTCCATCCCCTCCCTATTCGCCACCGCCTCAGCAGCAGCACCAAGACCACCACCTGACTCCAGAGCCCTGACCTTCGCCGTCAGCGTCGATCGCTCCAGCGCAAACCGGTCATTCTCGGCCCTGCGGGCCTCGAGCTCTGAGGCAATGGCCCTGTACTGCGCCTCGAGTGCCGCATACTTCTTCTCGTGCTCCTCGCGCGCCTGCCGCTCCCGCATGTTCTTGACCTCTGCCGCGAGTGCGCGGGCCTTTGCCTGTGACGTCTCGAGCGCGAGCATCAGCTTCCGCTTATGCTCTGACAGGGTGTCGACCTTTGCTGTGAGCGATTCCTGTGACGTCTCGAGCGCGAGCGTCAGCTTCCGCTTCTGCTCTGACAGGGCGTCGACTTTAGCTGTGAGCGATTCCACCTGCGCTTCGCGGATCCCATAGTCGATTGGGGACTCGGCGGCGGGGGGTTTGGACTCCACGGCAGTGCCGTGCTGCTGGATGAACATTGTGGAGAGCACTGCATCTTTCTCGGTGATCTGGGAGCGGAGGGTGGCGAGTTCGGTCTGTAGGGCTTCATGACTGGCGCGGGAGATGAGTTGGAGAGTGGAGAAGTCGGCGTCGAGGAGGTCGGGGGTGGTGAAGTCGAAGAAGGAGCGGAGGGAGCGTGGGGTTGCCTAAGGCGTCAGTGAGTATTGGGGGGGTGGTTACCGGGATTGAAGATACCATCATGTATTTTCCTGTATATACGGACGATGTCTGAAAAGTGATTTATTGGGGTGGGTATTGGGTATCGTTTATTGTCCTGTTTCAAAGACAGACAACAAACAGGCAGATCTAGACTGTTCTAGACGTGAAAGACAGATTGCAATGGCGTGTGGTTAGATTGCTAGATGCAGAGAAAAAAATTAAAGAACCAACGGGAGACAATCATGGAGGGAGGGACATTAATGGCTCTATTTCCGTAGAATAACTGTTTGTTTAAGAAACAGCAATCACAATGCAAGGAAAGGGAAGAAGAGAGCGAGGAAGGAAGGGAAGAAGGGAAGAAGGGAAGAATGAGGATGGGGATGAGGATGAGGGGACGCGAGGAGGAACAACAAACTGATGGCATCACCAGAATGTGAAGTCTGTCCAGTTGGCGCTTGTTCTTGGGTCGCACAGATCGTTGCTCCCCGCTCTTTTTTCTTTTGTTGCAGGGATGCTGGGGGTGCATGCGGGTAGAAGACAGCATGTGAGACACGTTTGCAAGAACAGAACACAGACAGGACTCGACTCTGAGATTCATATATTATGACGTATCCTCTCAACTGCTTGCCCCACTCATAACCACCGCGTGTAAAGGAACCCCTGTAACAATGGTTCATGTACAGATGCTCTTTTTTTTATATTGAGATTACTCGTTTGTACGGGATTTTAGGCCCTTCGCTAGGAAAGAACGACGTCGACTTCCGGGAGCTAGAGGTGGATACAGGTCACATTAACGCTTCACGGCTAGATTTGAAGAGGTGAGATCAATACCGGTACCCAAAGTGGCGATAGAAATACTTTTAATCCTACTATAGTATTCCTATCACCCAGCTTGGTTAAAAAGCGAAACCCTTGAAAACAGCGGAAGGGATAACTAGTAGACTGCAATGGAAGGTCTAGTCACCACTACGGATGATATGCTAATGAGCCAATATCCACCGGTTACTCATCAAGAATATCAGTGAATATGGTTATAGCTATGGAAATGTATCCTAGTATCTTTAAATCCGCTAGAGATGGCGATAACGACCGTGTTTCTCTAACAATGGAAATAGTTTCGATCAGGAAGCCCTATCACAGTGCCTTGGCATCCGTCGAGTGAGAACTTATGATCATCTACTGTAGCGACCAGTCAAGACGTTCGTACAGGGACTTTTTTTGTCAGCAGAAAATACTTTGTACAGTGCTGTCTGACAAGTTCCCGAGTTTTTACAGTGAGCTTACTGACAAAACACAAAGTTCATACACACTGTCTGGGTGGCTAAGGATGAATGAGGTATCGATAGTGTGCAATTAATGTTTATAGCGGGGAAAACAAAAATTGATATAAATGACACCCGGCAGCTTCGTACAGCGGTACAGAGTCTATTATGGCACCCAAAGTACTTCGTACACTGCCCTCTTTTCCTGACACTCTTTCGTACAGAACTGCTGGGCTGACACCTGTCATACGAACTTGACTGGCCGTCGCTACAGTATTACTGGGGAGAAATACGATCAACACCCGCGCCATATATCCACTCGCACAGGGAAAGGATAAATGATGAGCATGAGAAAATTATATTAACTGATGATAAGTAGGTGCTTTCAGGTCATTTCAAGAGAACGATGGTCACGTTGAAGAATGCACATAAGACTTCAAATTGAGCGGTAAAAAAAGATTTATTAGTTTACTCCAATTGGAGCACCGCATACAAGAACTAAAACCAATTGCAAACCGAACAACCCCAAACAAACCAGACCGAAACAAAACAAAACCAAGCAGAAAACCAGAAGAAAAAAATACAAAACATGAAGAAAAGAATTTATGAGGGAGAGAGAGACGGCTCCCTCTTGATCACGACCTCGACATCATCAGAACCCTCCTCCACCGCCTCCAACACTCGCTCAGCAACCCCCTCCTGAGCCAAACTAGGAGAAGGACGTTTGCTGCTGCTCCGGGTCTTCCTGACTCCAACTGGCTGCGATGCTGCACGGGTCTGACGCTTTGCCTTCTCTTCTCGGTCCTTCTTTGCCGCCTTCGCGGCCTTCGCGGCCTTCTTTTCTGCACGCTCCTTTGCTGCAACCTCCTTCTCGGCCTCCTTCTTTGCCTTTGCGGCCTCGCGCTTCTCAATGCGCTCTTTCTCCTTACGTGCCTTCTCGGCCTCGACCCTTAGACGCTCTGCCTCGGCGGCTTTTTTCTCTTTTTTTCCGGCACGTGCCTTTGCCAACCGCTCCTTGTTGGCCACTTTTGTGGCCTTTGCGGCCTCCTTTTTCTCAAGGAGCTCCATCTCCTTCTTCTCTTTCTCAGCCATCTCCGCTCTTACGCTATCAGATTCGGAGTCCTCATCCTGCGGGGTATCTGAAGAAAGGAACCAATTCTGCAGCTCGGCTGCACGGTCAAACTCCTCCCTCACTACGGTCTTCTTCATGCGCTCATAATATTCTTTATGGTTCGATTCCTCGAGCTCCTCCCTTTCTCGTGACCACGGGTTGGCTAACGTGTAGTCACGTACAAGATTTTCGTAAGCCGATTCGATCTTCGCCTTCGCCTCGTCACCGTGCAGCTCTGTCATCTTGAGGGTAATTTCGAAGATCGAGTCTTTGTGCTCTTGGGCCGATTTAGTGGATTTGAGAGCGGATTTGTGAATCGCCTTCGCATGTAAAATTTCCGGTTCGGAGCTGGTTCTCAATGCCTCGAGAAACTCTGCTCTCGCCACTTTCTCGAACATGATCGCCTCCAACCATATTTTTGTCGCCGTGTCCAATTTATCCCAGGCCCAATCGATGGCTGTACCTATTTTTGCTTTTCTCTCCGATATTCCCTCTTGGTCGGCTCTGTGAACTCTCTGGTACTCGTCGCAACGATCTGTCTGAGCTTTGAGTTGTTGCTTGCAGATTTCATACTCTCTTGAAATACGCTCGTTCTCCGTTCTGAGAGCTTGGTTTTGGTGATCGTTGACTCTATTCGACCTTCTCGTGTCGTACTCAACTCCTTTTTGGACTTCTCGATTGTATTCATTTAATTTGCGATAACCCTCTCTCTGTTGGCGATCTTTCTCAATTTTCACTGTGTTGGTAGGATGAGTTAGCCACTCAATATTTATAAATTAAGAAACAGAGTAGACTTTGATTTGTTATGATTGATATACAACAACGCTACGAGCAAAACAGAAAAGAGAGGGAAAAAGAAGAAGGGGGCATGAATGTGGGACTTACGTTCAATCCACTTGCACTTGCGTGCCCCATATGCTTCTCTAAGAGTAAAGTATGCCTCCCTTGCCGGTTGATCATAGAGGATAGTCTCCGCCATCTTGATCTTTGAAATTTAGAAATTTATGAGTTAGTATATAAATAGAAAGAAAAAAAGAAGACAAGAAAGAAAAAAGACGACACATACAAGTTGAAGGCTTTGGATATAAAAAGATTTTACGTCTGCCTGACGCTCCGCAATTATCTTACCACAATCGTCAATGTTGGTCCCCAATGGAATCTCCATCAAGTCAAAAAAGTCCACTACACTTCTGTCGCCCTCTGGTTGAGCAAATGTGAATTCTGGGATCGATGACATGAAGTCAGGTTTATAGTCCAAAATGGGGTTGAGTTCGGGGTCGTTGTTTCTCAGAGGGCCTTGACCACTATAATATAACACGCCGAGTTCGAATTCTTGATCCATTTGAGAGGATTTCTTTTTTTTTTATGGTGAAGTGTTTTTTATTTCTGTTGCTGCCGCTGCTAGTTCTACTGCTGAGAGTAGTGGTGGCACGGAGTCTAAAGATTTGGGGAGCGGACAAGGACAGAAAGGTTTCTAGGCTTTGTAGAGGCGAGGTGAGGGAAGAAGGTGTTGGCGGCGGCTTTGCTGATATATAGTCGCTACTCGTGACGAGATTGTTACCGGAAATGGAAGGAATTGGGAAGTGTTGGTGAGCCTTTTTGCAGGTAACAAAAAAAGGTTGCTTTGATGTGTGAGAGGGTGTGGTCGGAATTGCTTAGTGGCAGAAAACAGCAAACAGTGACGAGGACTGAATGAACGTTTTAAGTATCCGCAACAGTTTTTCTGTTCCTGAGAAGGTGCAGGTGAGGTGAGGTGATGAAAATGCTTCTACAGCTCGTAGAGGCAAAAGAGAAAAGAGGGGGAAAAAAACACTGAGGAGGTCGGGAAGAGTTTTCAAGTATTTGCAGCGACGTTTCTGATGTTGAGGGAGGAGAGAACCAGAGGGAGGAGAAGTGACGATGTTGAAGGTGGGGTCAATTGAGCCAGAAGATCGAGAAACGGAAGAAAGATGTTGACGGAGAATGTCAAATTAAAGATTTCAACCACAGGAGGGAAACAGCTGACAGGAGAGAAATCAAAGATGCTCAAAGTGAGGGAGTTTTGAGCGGGAAGAATTCGAGGAGGAAGTTGAAAATGAGAAAAGGTGTTTATTGATGGGAAAAGTCGAAATCTTCTTATGGATTAATTCGAGAAACAGTGGATTATGATGCGTCAACTCAAAAGCTTCAAGTAGTTGCGTCAAAAAAACTGTTACGAACAAATCTGGGAAGAAAAATGAGGAAGAAAAGGAAGAAAAAGAAGAGAGACTGTGTGAAACTTATACCCCACCACTATTGAAGTCGTTGCCAAGATAACCAATTGATAGTAGATTAGTGCAGTCGTTGCCAAGACGATAAATCGATAATAGTGTAGCCCGATTTGGTGTGGGAAAGTTTTTGCTCTGGAGTAAAATAAAAAATAGAAAGGTGGTGAGCCCCCTTAGCGCGGGAGAGGTAATGATTGTTTTGCAGCTTTTTGGCGGATGTGGCAACGGGTTGGGTATAGTCGCATGCATCAAGTTCTCGCCGTTCACGATGCAACACCCAACCTCAATACTCGTTACTCAACCATAAGTGAAGATATTTAATGGAGAATACATAGTAGAGTTAAATAGAATATAAAGAAAGCGATTTTGAGACTACCATCTAGTATGCCCTCCATTGGCTTTGAGACACGCCTCAACCCTTAATGGCAATTTATCTAGCTTTGGTTGGGACAAGGCCCCCTACTCCTCTTGTGCAGCGATAAAGGGTTCATCATCACGATGAGGTATTCTCTGTCTATAACTTCATTCCCTTTTTAGTGCACTCTTGAGCATCTCCCATGAATTCTCTATGGCATTGAAATCTGGTGATCCAGTAGGCCAATCCTCCTCCTGACTGACAGTTTGTATCTTTATTTATCTGTACAGTATTTCAGCCAATTTTATGGAGAATAACAACAGCTTGCCACTTATCATATCTTGAAACTTTTGCAGAGTTCGTGGTGGAGTGGTTATGGTTTGACTCACCGTCAAAAAACGGCGGGAACTTGTTGCATGCGACTGTACATGTATGCAGGGATACGAGGTAGGTGTCAATGATGGATATGTGTAGGATCTCGACCGACTTTATCTCCTCCATCAATGATTGTTGCGGACCTCGATAGCTGCGCAGGATCATCGCACACTCTTCCTATCTAATCGTCAGCGGACTTTGGTTTGGCCTTGTTTAGCAGGAACGATCAAAAGTTGTCGCAAAATCAGTTTCCCTTTCCTTCCTTTTGCATGTCCCGCGATTCCGTATCGCAACCAAACTCCTCCTGTATACATACATGTATGTAACTTAATATGAAGCATGTACTGCAAGGCGACGTTGTGTATTCCAATTGTTGTAACAAGATCAAATCATTTGATGAGAAGAGATATGACAATTCATCAATAGGACTTCTCGATTACATGTAGTTTCAAGCTTTATACGACATGGTTAAGGACAGGTTGTCATATCGCCTATTCCTTTATACATATAGTATACGTGCCTGACAACCGCGTATGCGGCACGACAGTGCTAATTACATAAGGGTGTCCAGAAATGACTACAACGCCACAAGTCACCACAGGATATGAAAGGGATAACCATAAACTCAGAGAGTCAAGGATCTGTGGAACTTATCTATCTCTTGAGGAGAGTATGAACCGACTGATGGGGAGTGTGGAGGTGGCAGCGATGATTTTAACACAACCGCGCAGGGGAAACACAGCAGGCGAGGTATCAAAGGCCAACATCTTATATTCAAAGAACAGCCGCCACATCTGCATCCACTATCCTCTCGTCTCCATTACAACCAACATTCCCAAACTCTCCGCCTCGCACCAATGCGCACATAGGATTCGACGGTATGTCTTTGCTATATTCCTCCGTCACTGACCAGATCAGGGCCGGCAGAACCCACCACCTGACTCACCATAAACACCGATTTATACGCCGTCGACAACACCTGTTAGCTGAGCAGTGTTGCAGGCAGGCTTCAACACTGGAAATACCAGAGCCACCTTCACCTATGCCCTACCCCTCGAGTTAACAGCGAGGATGGCAGCGGAGAGTGAGAAGCAGAAACGCGGGGACGCAGGACGGTGACTGTTAAGTACGCATTACGCTGCAGTTCTTCACCATATCAGAGGGTGTGTTGATTAAGGCTGTCGAGATCTCAACAGCTCTTTATCACCTTTCTCTGTCCTCCTGCAAGAGTTGTTTAAGGCACTTCTGACCTCGAGCTGTTTAGGGTGCTGTGGCCGTATACTCCCGACATTGATCGCGGGTGTCACCTGTGCCAGCTAGCGGCACCAGTCGTACGGCCCATATCAACTAAACGGAATAGAACTCGCAGTTCTAGTCGAATCATAATGAGCACTTGTTCTGTGCAGCCTGCCGGCTGTAATGTTGGGATTTGAACGGCCGCTGTGATGGCTGGGTTGTAACAGCGGTGCATAAGATTAACCCTCTCTCTACATGCAGCGTATCCTGCAGAGCTATCCCCAGCGCTGTCTATCTTTTAGAAACAGCAGAGCACCAAGAGAAGCAGTCAGCAGCATTATGCTCCAAAGCACCCAGTGGTATACTATCAATGTTCGACTTTGCACCATGGCCAAAAAAAAAAAACAATTAATACTCCGATCATAACGCCTTCAACACGCAGCTACATCTCGATCCAATTCCCTCATCCTCGTGTCTATTAACATAGATTATTCGTTTGAGCCCAGCATGGTGGAATTCGAGAAATAAATTCTACTATTATTTACTCTTAGTAACACCTAGCGCCGCGCTCGTCGCACAAGGGTGAGACACCAACTAATCCTCTAATGCGCCAATCGCGAGCTCGCGTCAGTTAACAACGCTAGCTGTCTTGGCAGTAAAATTCTCTCCACAACCATGATGTTCAAACAAACCGAATCCAGGGTGATTCCAGACACAAGAGCATCATCAAACACGGTACAAAAGCTCTCTTCACCCCCCTGATCATAAAGAGGTCCAAACCCACAGAGGCTGTGTGCAACGTTGCCACCGGCGACAAAAGGGGTTTGTCACCTTGGGAAGGCGGCAACACACAGAGAGATGCAAAACGAATGACAGGAGTGGGACTTGAACCCACGCTCGTTTCCGAACCAGGAATTAGTGTTAAGATTAAGACCTTAACCTGGCGCCATAACCAACTCGGCCATCCTGCCTTGAAGAGGTGCCTATTTGCATAAGATTTTATCAGGTTGCCTTTTGAGTGTATACCGGCCGAATCAGTACGGTTGTAAGCCGATTGGCCGCGGCGGCTCTCTCACGACGCGCAAGTCGGCATGCCGACAGTTGTCGGACCGCAGAACCATATAGACCTTATTCGGCACTTTCAAGGTAGAACGCAGGGTCAATGTTCTAACAACCTGTTTTGCTTATATAAGCTTTTTATAAGACAGATATAAGCATCTATTAGGGGTTAAATAAGGATTATATAACATTCCGAAAGGTTGTTAACACCCTGTATTCTCGATAAGGACCCTTGCCGATATAAAACTCCCTCGCACCCATCCCAACCCAATACTCAAAAGTCAAAACCTACCTCACTCTCTCATCATCCAAAACCCAAGCGAACCACTCGACATTCCTCGGTCTCAGCTATCCAACCCCGACAGCTCCAAAAAGAAAGAACAAGCAAAAGATGAGTTGTAGAGTTCGGTACTCAGGATTCCCGCATGGTCACCCACTGCAGTACTAATTGAGCGATACGATGGTTGAGTATGGCAGAGCGGACGGGATGCCCTATTTTCATCGTTCTATGACCGAACACGTCGGGATGAAGCGGTCGGCGGTGAAAATCTTTGGGCGCCAGTCTTAAGTCCCAATCCTCAGACGCCAAGCCAAGATGGCCGAGTTGGTTATGGCGCCAGTCTTGGGCCCCCAATTCTTGGCGGTGATTTACTATTTTACCGTGTTGGTTCGTTGACCGATGAGCTGGATCGGCCCGCGGCCGTAAATGACTTTAATAGCTATTTTATGACCATGGTCGATCGTGCGGGTGGAAAGAGAAGACTGATTAAGTAGGGGGCATGATATTAATGGAGAAAAACATTCCGCGCGCGAATGTTTGTCAAAGTCGTATAAAGGTATTGCAAAAGTAAGTATGCTCATGGCAAATTTATAGAGTCTGGTGCCCAGATAGAAAAGACATTTATATTGCACTCTTCCGGAGAGATATTCTGTCACGCGCTAGCACTCTGGTCGAGACGTCGGTAAAGCAAGCCAGATTTGTTTTGGACCTTGTTAGAGTCAGTGATCATGAGGGTCTGCTCCGGGTCACAGTCAGTAACGGTGGACAACACGATGCACTTAAGGTGATTTATACGAAGTTTGAAGACATAGTTTCTAGAGAAGGATGTACCTAAAATCTATGGCTAGCATCAGTGCATGCATATGATGTACTATATGCTATAAATCAAGTATGTACCTTGAGCTCAGTTCCCAATTGTTTTTTTTTATTGACATGTAGAGACTCTACCTTTTGGCCCAAAAGGCCTAAAAGATACAAGAAAAGCGAGAAAACGAGACCCTATAGTTCCAAATCTCTAGTCTATCAGAAGAAATATAACAAAGCTAGCATCAGAAGTCCCTTATTGGAATTTACGGAGAAATACTATCAATACCAAGTCCTGTCCCAACTATACGTAGTGCTTATGATAGTACGTATTTTGACAGCCGGCAATATAAATTTCGCGCATGAAGCCTGTGGGTAACAAACTGTAACCTGGGCTCTTTTGCGGAGGTTATGCCAAAGAGACTTAAGCTTGTGTACGTTTAGACCCTCGATCTAGAGCTAGCAATTCCGTTATGATGTACCACCAAAACAGGGTTTTTCTAGGGGTCTCGCATAAACCTTACCAAGCCCTTAGCTAAATCACGGGATTATAAGAAGCCTATTCATCATATAAGGCCTCGGTAAGTCTGATCTAAGTATTTTTAAACTTTTCAGGATAAAATAAGACTTAAAAACGATTGAAAACGGTTTGTGTGCCCCCGAAGGGGGGGGGGGGGGGCTTTTATAAATCTATATTTTCGCTAAGGGTTTGATAAAGTCTAGGTAAGGCTTATTTTCTTACGAGTTCCGGTGGTAAAACCATTTTTAGCCTCTATTCTTGATCACAGATTATCACTCGCATCTACACACTCCACCGCTTAATTCCACGCACTGAGATCGAGATCTAGAGCGCGATCATGAAACATAAGGATTCTTAGAATTTCAACCACTCTATCGCCGCATACAAGTATATACGAGAACTTCTTCTCGGATCATTGGTTGCCGAACTCAATATCCTCGCATCTTATGGCGATTGTGATCTACAGCGCAAAGGTTCTTCTATACATAGTGCCGGACCGCGACAGGCATTAAAGATATTTTCAGAAACCCGGTCACAGAAATCTACCTGCAAGAATCAGAACATCGCGTACTGTCCTGTCTGTCCAAATATTAAGTACTTACCCGCCGAGAATCAAGTCTGCAGGTACCCGGGTCGGTATGCATGGCATGGGCTAAACTTAAAAAAAGGGCACCTTGGCACGGACGCCACCGAAGAGTGATTCTTCATGATGTAGCCAAATCTATCCAACCAAATATATTTCCTCCGATGACGCAACGTGTTTGCTTTTGACGACGCGTTTGAGAATCCCTCCTTGCTTTCGGCATCGGCTCCATCCTCTCTCTTCGAGCCGATGCTTTCTTCTAAAAAAAGATGGGGTATTAAAAAAAAGTGATCGACATCTGTTGCAAGTAACTCTTACCAGACCCCAAAAGAAAGTAGATACTATGAATCAATCATTCTATCGTGATATTAACTACTTTATAGTCCTCGATTAACCCATCTCCGGATATGCGAGAACAATTATCTCAGGAGGTGATGAGTCTCGAGATGGGTACCATGTCACGACGCTGTCAAAGAACATGAAGAATCACTTCAATCATTACAGCAACTTGTCCAATCGATTTGATCAAACTACATAACTGGTGTATCATCAAGACAACGTTCAAGGATTTGAAGCTCGCCCCCCATGCACCATATTCTGAAAAGCGAATATGGCCAAATTGCAAAAGGCTATGAGCCAGTCAAATAGTACCACAGAATCCAGATCGGTCAGATCATTGGCTGATCAATAACATTCAATCTTCAAAGCTTCTGCAAGCCGCAAATCTTCATTACAGCATCGGCCATGTGTTGGCTCTGCATCCATACCAATCCCTAACTATCAATGTCCCCAATAATCACAATCGATCACTCGCTCAATATCTAGCCCTATCCCCGCAAGCTAGTCCCGGTAACTTGCAGGAACTGGGGAAATTTGGCCATTATATTCAGAACAGGTCACTCGGAGACAATTTGGTTTCTCCAGTCAGAGCGCGTGGATCGTTCGTCTCGCACCAAAGAACCCTGGAAATGTCAGTGCAGCACGGACAATGGTTATGGTTATATATTACCTTTTTCATAAGAAAGCAAAGGTGATTAAGGATTAACTAACGTTCATTTATGAAAGATTTAATCCTACATACTGATATGGGAATATAAAGGAAGTCGAGACCATGATGCTTACACCACTCCCATTGTCCCTTCGATCGATATATCATGATGATGAGCAAAACAGCCTAATATCAACAGTCGGTTCAATCACGCTCAACGTTCACATGCTGCCCAATCTCGTCCGTTATGCCTGCAAATCTACAGATATAAAGTGCCTCTAGTTAATCTATCTCGGCATGAATAGCCAGACAAGATGAGGTAGCGACTCGTGGTAAAAGTCCCCACAAAAGAAGGCCCTTCTTTGGTACGCGTGTAAATCATGACTACACAGCCGGGCGGCCGCAGAGTCCCGGAGACGGCTTCGCTGAAAAGGAATTGGCGAAGCGATGAGACCTGGTCAGGTTCGTACCCTGCGATATCTCCTCTGCATGCCCCCACTCGGAATAATCCTCTTGGAATCGGCTGATGGCGCGTCCCTGATGGCCTGATCCTTGCTCACTTGGGAACTGGGGTGCATTGAAGTCTGTGCGGGGCAAGACTTGGCATTGATCTGCCCCTTTCTCGTCTGGTATGTTGTTTTTCCAACAA